GGGGCAAATCTGAGAGTCTGAGTCAGGAGTGAGTTCAATAATTAATAATGCACATTATGGTTAAGAAAGAACTGAATCATCTGCTGTGAACAGGAAAACACACCAACACTCAGGCCCTAAGTGGGGCGTTAAGAACAGAAACGAATCACAACAAAGGAAACAGTCATCTTCATAAGAATGGATCTATTCCCCCGGGTGGATTAGCTTCCACAGACCGGAGGTGCAGCTTTTTGGATGAAGGGGAGGATGAGGAGGAGGGGGGTCCGAGATTGGTTTGCATGCATGCGTGTGAATGAGGGGTTGAGTGGCATGTAAACAAGCATACGAGGCCAGGTTGTGTCTCGAAAGGCTGGATCAGCGGGCCAGACAAAGAATCTAATCCTGATACTATTAAAGCTCCTAAACAGACAGACCGAGCGAGCTTCAGTTCCCCTCTTGACCCCACCTCACACACACCAGAGTCTACCAGAGACAACGACTTCTTCTTACACCAAGACTTACCCAAACAAAGAGCAGGAAGGCACCTGCGGCATCAGTTAACACCCTTTAAAGGTGTTGATATACCCAGTTCAAGCCACACAATAACACTGTTTTTAAAGTGAGCTGACACAGTTGAAAGGAGCTACTGATGAAGTCCATAAAGTGGACTCTGAGAAGCCTTAAAAGGCCCCTTTCAGCTGCTGCGCAAACATCCTCGTCCAACACAGAAGTCAATAAAATAACAAGCAGGGAAAGTAAAAGTGGAGACTGTCTCAGAGCCGAACAAAGAAAGCCACAAACACCATATGTCATAGCTACCTCTCGCGAAGACAAATGAAGAGGGAGGACAAAAAAGCCACAGAGGATGAGGAGTCGGCGGCGAGACCGAGGGGAAGGCGGCTCTCACGGGGTTTGATCGTGTGTTTGAATCCAGCACCGGCAAGACCTGCAGCTCCAGAGCGGGGAGGCACAGACTGTGGCTTATCGCAGGGGAGATGTGGGGTAGGACCCTCTGGAGATGGCTTTAGGGGAGGGGGAGGAGGATGGAGGGCAGGGTGGGTGGGAATATTAGAGGCGACAAGGAGCAGGTGTTCCTAGGGGGTGCTGCTCAAAGAGGGGTGTGGTCGGATGAAGGTGGGGATGATGACGGGAGTGTGCCGTGGATTTACAGATGGTCTCTCTTTTTTTTTTTTCCCTTCTTTAAGTGTTTCACGGCCCCCCAGCATCAGAATAAAGCTTTGGGCCTACAGAGAGGAGCAATGTGGGGCAGGAGGGAGGCGGAGAAGCAGCAGCTGGTGCAGTAAGGGGGG